TAAAAACATTTTAGTGCTAGTTAATAGCACTGTATGCTGAGGGACTGCCTCATAAGTTCAGTCATTTAAGCAGGTAACAATGCCTCCAGGCCAATCCTTTTGGCCATTACTTAGGGCAGTTCTGTACTGTTTTGCTTATAAGCAAAGGTCAACTTAGTTTCCTCAATTCACATATAAGTGGGTGCATCTTCACATCAGCTTCCTAAAGCACTTTTGTTATTATCTTCCTGTAAAGCACCTTTAGAATATCAGAAAAGTGCTGTTTTTATATTCTACTTTTCCTCTACATAACCTGCATTTTATGCAGCAAAGATACCACAGGGTTATTGCCTTCTGTGCTCTCATCATGCTCTCTGGCTAGCTTTTCAGTCCTGCTGAAAACACGTGTCACCAATACTGTTTTCTCTCAACGTGTTTCTTTCTGCAGTATATGCAAAATCAGAATGTACCTGGCAATATTGAACTAACAGTGAATATCTTGACTATGGGTTACTGGCCAACCTACGTGCCTATGGAGGTCCACCTGCCCCCAGAGGTAATGATATGCACCCACTATGCCAAGCAGCAACCTAGCAGAAGTGCACCTTGGCTTCATCTGCAACTTGTCTTACTTGATTGCAGAGCTTTTAAAGTAGAAATTGTTTGGTATCATGGCTTTTTTTTTTTTTCCTATTTTTTAGATGGTAAAACTGCAGGAGATTTTCAAAACCTTTTACTTAGGAAAACACAGTGGTAGGAAGCTTCAGTGGCAGTCAACTCTAGGACACTGTGTGCTGAAAGCAGAATTTAAAGAGGTGAGTCTCCTGTTTTTCTTATTCCCCTGACTTTGCCAGATCCAAATATGGGTGTACCTTAGGAATGTATAGAGATGTTTTTGTTCTCCCATGGCAAACGTAGAAGCCTTTTCATTAAAAACAAGTTTTGGAAGAACATAGCAGTTTTTAGAGAGCTTCCAACTATTTCCCTTTATCATCTCTCTGTGGGTGTGAATATATCTCAGGAAGATTTCCCTTGAGAGCTGGGAATGTTTACTCAGTTTTATTTTTCATAATGTTAATGATGAAACAAGTATTATCCAAGCTAGTAATAGCAGCTGTGCTTTTGAACTAATACTTGTCTTACATTTTGGATTAAAGGTCTTTCAGATTGTAATTTTAAGCACACTTTGGATTTGAATTTGTCTGAAGTTGCCTACATTAGCAAATTTTCAGTGGGTGTGCTAGTCTAATCTGACCTCTGTCTTGCTCTGCATTTCACAGTAAACATGAGGAGATCAATAACTTTTATTCTTTCATATTCTAAAATGAATGAGGCAACTGCATCCTGTAAGAGAAATAACTGCCGTAGAGGAATGAGTTGATCCCCCTAAAGCAGCCTAATGATGTCTGTTATTTCCTTTGTGATAGGGCAAAAAAGAGCTTCAGGTCTCCTTGTTCCAGACACTAGTGCTGCTCATGTTTAATGAAGGAGAGGAGTTCAGTCTAGAGGAGATAAAGCAAGCCACTGGGATAGGTTGGTACTAAAAACACTGACTGCTTCGAGTGTGTTCTTGAGTGAAAATACTAACCAACCTGTTTCTGCTTTAGAGGATGGAGAGCTGAGAAGGACACTTCAATCTCTGGCTTGTGGCAAAGCTAGAGTACTGACTAAGAGCCCCAAAGGAAAAGATGTGGAAGATGGTGATAAGTTCACATGCAATGATGATTTCAGACATAAGCTGTTCAGGATAAAAATCAACCAAATTCAGATGAAAGAAACGGTATATTTCTTGCTGTTTTTTCTAATAATGTAGGTATTTCATTCTTGGGCTGAGTATCTTGTTGCTTGCCCATTTATAAGCTTTATTCCTCTCAGTTGTAATGTCCATAATGGTATCTGTGTGAAGGATGCACGTATATTTTGGATGATAGCACAAACTTAACAGTGGACGTTTAAACACGAGCTTCTGTGCTAACTTAGAAATCCATCATCTCTACAGTTGATCAGCAGAGGTTCCAAGTAGTGGATGCTCTGTTCACCTCAATCGTTCCCTAGAGCTTTCCTGATTTGTGAACAGATCCACTGTGAATTTGCCAGCTAATGTAAAATCTGTGCAAAGATTTTACTCCCAGCACGAGTTCTTACGACAGTGGACTTGCATATTTTGTAGGATTTATGTCCAGTATTTTACAGTAGACATCTTAGAGTCTCAAAATAAGACTCATCTTAGATATGAAGAAGAATGTATTCAACAGTTGTGGTGTTCTCTTTAAAACTCTTCCTAAATGGATCCATCAGGTAGAGGAGCAGGCAAGCACTACAGAGAGGGTGTTCCAGGACCGGCAGTACCAGATCGATGCGGCCATCGTGCGAATTATGAAGATGCGAAAAACACTGAGTCATAACTTGCTTGTGTCAGAGGTCTACAACCAGCTTAAATTCCCAGTAAAGGTGCAGTACTGATTCCTTTCGTTTTTAAAATTTGCTCTCTTTGTCCTTTCACCTGTGCTCAGTTAAACGGTGCTTCTATCCGAAACGTGTTTCTTCTTTCCTGATAGGAGGAGCAAAAAATAGGTTATTTCAGGGTTCTTTAAGTGCCAGTTTCATTAGTTCATGTGAATGTTACCTCTAAATTAGTACAACATAGTAAAGGTTTTGAGAACTGGGAGTTTGTTAGTATGATGGTGAAGCCAAGCTGTTTGCATGTCGATGTTCTTCTGTTTATCAAGTGTTGTGGCAGTGCAGTCTTGAGAGAATCGGGACGACCGGTTCAGATAAGCAGGAATCATTTTGATCCTCGACTTAATCTGGCTAATATCATATTAATAGATCAGTAGCCAGTCAATGTACAGTGTTTTTTTCCAGACAGATTGTGTTATATGAAAAAAATTATGGAATGGAAATTACATGTTGGTGTCTCAAAGTTAAAGTGGCCCACAGATGCAGTGTGGGAAAGAACAGCTTACTGTGTATGAGTGCAAACTGATTTTCCAGAAGACAGTGACATAAAACTTAGATAACGTAGATTCTATGAGTCTCTGATAACATCTGAGCTCAGCTATGTGGTGCATCCCAGCTAATTCTGTAGCTTTCTCTTTAATTGCACATTGCAAACTTCAGCAGCTTTGTGTTGGGAGATGTTTCATCAGTCATCTCAAACAGTATGGGTGTTTGGCTTAGGTAGAATTGAGAAGCACTGACTACAAAATAATAATGCTGACGTCTGCTTTAATTTACAGCCTGCTGACCTTAAGAAGAGAATAGAATCCTTAATTGACAGAGACTACATGGAAAGAGATAAAGAAAACCCAAATCAGTACAACTATATTGCATAAACATATGTTGGCCTTTGTTTTACTGCACACTCGGTGTCATACGCAATTGCCAGTGGATAAACTAGCCTGTTAATCCCGTTAATTGACTTTTTATACTACCGATGACTGAATGAAAGCAGTGTAATGGAGGAGAATAGTAGAGTGGACTTCTTTCAGTGGTTAACATGCCCATTTAAAGAGTACTATTTACATTTTAAGAAGAATGCTGTTGAACTCTTTGCATGTTATTTAGTAAGATGTGCAGGAAGCTGCAAGAAAGTATCTGGTCTTCGTAATTCCATTTGACTCTGGGTCTGAAGAGGAGAGTCCCTTGATATGACAGATGTCTTTCACACCTTTAAATGGAAACAGAAGGTTAATATAAGAAAATAGCCTTTAAAATGCTTAAACTGCATGCAAACTTTTAATTTACTGTACAGAATGCATTTCAGTTAGCAACATACCATTGGTTTGGATGATACCCACACGAGGGTTTTTCTCAAGGGGAGGGGAGGTGGGGAATAAGCCGAGCTGCGCTTATTGCTGATCTAGTGGAATCTGTTCTTGGTTGCAGTTAAGACAAAATGGTACCAATATAAAATGATTTATACAAGTTTGTAGCGTGGGCATATGTATACAAATATCATTCTTAAATAACTGCTACAACAAAACAAGTTCAGATTTGTATTTGTATGGCTTGCCTGTAAGACCTTAGTGTTCACCTTTGGGAATTTTAACATAAAACAGCCATAATGGAAACAAAAGTGACAGTTCTTACTGGACATGGGTAGGAGGCCTTCACCTCTTGGCAGCAATACTCTACAAAAGAGAATCTATTTAAAGGTATTTATGAAAAGCCACACTGTTCTTGTGGTAAAGCTATAAGAACAAAAGCTACAAATTAATTTTAATACTTGTTTTGTTTTGCAACATTCTGAACTTGAACAAACCTCAAGGTTTAGACAGGGCACATAGGAGGCTGCCCTGCTTTGGATTGCTTTAACTTAAAGCTTTAAGAACTCAGCCCTAGATGTGGCAGGCCTCCGAGAAACCCAGAAGCCTACCTCTCATACAGAAAGATAGCTAAGTATTGCTGTAAGGCATCTAAAACGTCGTCTTAGGTGACCAGAGAGATTCTTTACATCTGGATAAGACACGAGAGAATAAGTCACTTGAATGTAGAGCTTTTTTTCAACAGGTTGTTTTTTATTGCTATAGCAGTACGACAGGAATACATGGGGTGAAAAATGTCAACAGGAAAGGTAACTCCTCTACGTAACAGTTCTTCCTTACAGCCAAGCTTTAGACCTACAATCAGCTGTGTTGCAGAGCACAATGAAAAACCTCATCTTTGTTCAGGCACTAACAGTCCTGGGGAATAGCAGACGTTTCCTGTAAGCAAGATGTTACTTTCTTTTCAGTGACAGTGTAACTTAGCGCTCTGTGATCTCTAACTTTTATCACTGTGATCCCACTTTCAGGGGCCTACATGTGAGAGAGGGGGTGTGTGTGTGTGTGTTGTATCTGACGTGTCCCATCCTTACTGCTTTTTTGGTCCATGGTTTAATTCTGTGTTTTCTTCAGCTGTATGTTTTCTCAGGCTTCTTTTGTACACAGTCCTCAGTTGACAGATGGAGCAGGTGGTTTTTTTTCTCCTACTGAATTACTTACTGTCACCCTCTAGTAACTGTAATACAGTTCTTCAGGTGATCTGCAGAAAATCTGCCTTAACCTTTGACACTGTTACAGCATAACTACTGGTAGGCATCCAGGGCCACAATTGCCTCTGTTAAAAAAAAAAAAAAAAAACATTAATAGAATTATTTGGTAAAAAACTCAAAGATTGCTCTGCGAACAGAGCCAAGTCTTTAAGTCTTATTTCAAATGGCAATCCTCTGGGGAGAAAATGCTCTCCTCCCCCCCACCAAACAAACAAACAAAAAAAAAGAACAACCCTTCTGTGTTTTCCATTCAGCGTTCCTTTTTCTTGTATGTGTTTTGTATTTTTAGCCAATAAAAGATTCCTTTTAAAATGGTGTTTTGGAGAAGAAACATAAACTCTTTGGGAGACAGAAGACTTTAAAAATCGCTGTCAAACTGGTTCCCTTCACTTGGTTGTAGCAAATCAATCAAACACCATTGCACATCAAAAATCCCTATTCTGGTGAAATCCTCCCTCATCAGGTAAGCTTGCTGCAATCAGTCAGACTGAGCAGACAGGTGCAGGGCCTGTTTAATTCTTATCCCATCCGCTTCAGTCACTTAAACGCAGAAATTATGACTTTAAAAACGTCCTCAGCTCTCATAAGACTTCAGCGATCTGAGGCTCCCCGTGCAGCAATGCAGTTAAAGCAACCCAGCAGCAGCACTGAGAACGCTGACTGGGCTGAGTGGAGGAGCAGGAGGGAGGGGAGAAGGCTTCTCGTTCTTCATGGCTTTTCCCTGAGCACTTGCTCATCTCTTCTGCTCGTTCCTCGTTCATGACAAAGCTGCAGCCAACATTTACTGACTGGCTGTACAACTCTGCAACCTCTTGCTGGGATCACGTGCCTGCCTATTGAGCCATATGCATCTCTGGATGAAAAACGAGTGGGCTCGGACCACTGCTCATTTGGCTATAACACAGCTCGTCTGTTTGGCCACACATTTTTAATCTTGACTCTTGCATGCAGTTTATAGCACCTTGTTCATAAGAAATTGCAGTTTATTCTTAGAAATATATATTTTAAGTTTTTTAATCTTTATACCCGTAAATGGAATATTTTTTTGTCTTGGCTGGTTTAAAAAGTGACCATTTTGTTTAAATGCTGTAATTGCAAATGTGTTGTAAACATTGTTTTGTTCTATAGTTTACACAGAGGTGCCAAAGTAAATAGTTAATAAAAAGGAAAAAAAAAAAAAAACCCTAGCAAATTAAGTTGCTTTAGCTGTGCTTCATATTTTGGTCTCTGCTCTTTTCTTATCAGTCAGCTGGTTGATTTTTTCCTAAGCATATCATTTGCCCTAATGCTTTCTTCTTTTTTTTTTTTTTTTTTTTTTTTAAACAGTGCATCTAAATACATGTCCAAATACCACTTTGTTGGGTTGTTTTTAGTGATTTCATACAGTAGGAAGAATATTTTCTTTGGAAAGTTACACTAAAATTGTAAGAGTACAGCAGCATTCAAAAATGTAATATACTTTTTGTATAACAATTCTTCAGAGTACGTCTGGAGTGGGAAGAAGAAGACAACTAACCCTGTTATTCTCAGCAGCCTCTTCACTCGGCTACAGGAATATAGAATTGTGCTTTTTCACTGCATCAAAAAGTGAGAGTTTATGCAGACTTGCAAACAGGGCATGTGTCACCATTGCATCCGTTGATGCAAAAAGCAGCAAAACCTTTTTAATGTTTCATAACAAGTCTGATATGGGTACAGAGAGTCTTTCTTAAAGTTGGTAAATAATGTAAATACATGTCCTTTCAGAGAGTGAGTCTGTTATCTAGGTATTTTGTGTCATTTAATAAATATTAAACAGTTTTGTGTTGATAAACTCTGGTGTAAAATGCCTTTTTCCTCAAACCGCTGTATGTTGGGCTTCTCACGTTTGTGGCTTCTTTAAAATCCTCAGCTTCTGCTCCGCCAGCACAATACCTGTTTGCTACCTGAATCCCAGTAGTTCCTTTTGCATTCGGTCATTAAAATCCCTTCGGTTTTCTAAGCAGCTTCCATTCCTGAATTATTTCTATTCTTTGCTTCCAGAGAAAGGGTTTGAAAGCACAGGGAAGCGCAGGAGAGGAAGCGGCGATTCCTCCCGCCAGCTGTGCCAAAGGCGCTGCAGCAGAGCGCTCAGCCTGGGGTTGGACTCGGTGATCTTTCAGGTCTTTTCCAACCTGAGCCATTCTGTGATTCTAAGCAGGGAGATCCTAAAAGGTTCCTCGGGTGGGCAGTGCTTCACAGGGGGCACAGCAGGCGGCTTCAGCTGGTGCTGCTCAGGTGTTCTGCTCTGCTGCGGCCTGGAGGCAGGAGTGTGGGATACTTTCCACTAACAGTTCCTACTTCAAGAGAACACTTCTGACTTTCTGTGTTTTCCATAACCCTGCAGAATTTTGTATTTTTTTTTTTTTTAAATCCTACTAAGTGAATAGTTGGAGTAAATACTCCTGATTTGTTACTGTAAGGTGTATTGCATTTCATAAAGTAATCTTTTGATTTCAAGGGAAACTGGTGCCAATCAAGTAATCGATTTAAGATCTTCTGTTTTTTTCTTTTTTTTCTGCTCTGGATGTAAGGGAGATGAATTCCGTGCAGAGGGCAATAATGCAAACATGGAAAGAACTGGGGAAAGGAGCAATGGGTCTGCCTGCAGGGGAGCAGTTATTTTTCCTGTTTAAGTAACTGATGCCTGATAGAAGATTGGCTTTCAAGTATCTACTGGAACTTGTCCTGCTGCTGCTTGTATCCCACAGGCATTAAGATACACACAAAAGCAGAAACTTTTAAAGCTGTCTTTCTACAGTCAAGCAGTGAATGGCAGTGCCATAACTAAAGCCCTCTTACACTTAGAGAAAGTAGCTGGCATGCAGCAGATGTGCTTTTAGTGATGAGAGCTCTTCAGCTTAACTCCTTAAATCGGGGCTGTTTGTCAGCTTGAAGCTCCTCTGTTTTAGAGCTGGAGGAAAAGAGAAATGCCATCAAGTATTTCAGTGTAAAAACAGTTAAGTAATCTTTTACCATGAAAAGCTGTCCTTTCAAAACCACGAGTCCAGCAGTTCTGCTTCATCAGACAACGCAGCCCATGTGGAGCAGGGCCAGGCCTGCCTGTAGGCTGCAGCCAGCCTGTTCCGGGAGCATGGCCTTGTGCTGCACTGCCTCTTCTTCCTTGCTTCTTATTCCTGAGGTCCCCGCTCCAATAGCACATGGCAGACCAACCCAAGCAGGATAGTTGCTGTAGCCTACACCAGTTCTGCTCAGGACCAGGCAGGGAGAGGCGCTGGCTCAGGGCTGGATGCGGCATGTGACTGGGGGCTGCCTGCAGAGGGGTCATGCTGGCGTGCTGGGGAGCGCTGCAGCCCTGCAGTAGAACATCCTAATAAGATAATGGCTATATCATGCAATTTCCCTTCCACCCCTGTGCTTTTAGATGCAGCTTTCTGCTCGAGCATGAAGCTTCCTGCCAAAGTTTCTCCAAACAAGTTACTGTCAGTACGCTTTCATAAGAGCAGAAGCAGGAGGTGCCCAGTATACGGAGCTGAGCTCCTTCACATAGCAATTGCTGCTCCAAAGCTGACATTTATCCCCAAGAAGTCAGCCTGTATGTAGCTAAAAATACAAATTTCTGATTACTGATATTTTTCTGCCATGCTGCTGCAAGCCTACAGAATGCACTGAGTTGTCAGCCTACCCACTGAAAAACAGCTGTCCATTTTTCCCTGTGGAACAATCTAACTCAGCAATTTGGCATAACTCACAGAATGCACAAGTCTCATCTGCTGCTGCTTGTTAGCCCAGCTGCCTGACTGTCCATCTCTGCAACACACATCGTGTCCCACGGCAGCAGGGCTGCTCCTGAACATCACCAGATACCCCAAACCATCATCTGCATCGCTCACAACTCACAGGGCTGCTGGCAGTGGGATGACCGGGGACCTGCTGATCCATGCTGCTTGCTTACAGCAGTCTGCTTACAGGCAGAATATCCCAGCCAGCAAATAGTTAAAATGGCATCGTGAGCATGCTTGTATAACACGCCCGTGGCCCAGCGCCGCCTCCCTACCTTTGCTTCTGCCTGCAGGCTGGGAACGTGTTTTTCCAGCTGTGTCACAGTGTGAGATCTCAATGGGCTCTTGCAGGAAATTCTGCAGCCGCTTGCTGCAGCCTGGGCTCTGATCCCTTCACCTCAGCACAAAGGTTTCTTTTTTTGGCATTCCACGTGATTGCCCCAGTCTTGACTCAGCAGTTTGTTGGCCCAGCAGCGTTTAATGGCTTGGTTTCCCATCACCACCTCCTCCAGAAATGCAGCAACTCAGAAACGCCGCCATCTGCTCCGAGTGAGAGTGAAGTGCAGCTTTCATGCAGTGTAGATAGAAAGTGATTGTAAGGCTGCGGCCATCATGCCCCCAGTAACAGCCCCAGCTGAAGCACTCTGCTGCCAGGCTGTGCTGGGCAACGCCGTGCTTCATGCAGGTGCCCAGATCTCAGCACATCCCCGTGCTGCTGCACAGCTCCAAAAGTGGAGCTGCATGGAGAGAACCTCAGTGAACTCCTAAAAACAACTGGAATAAAGCAGTGGCTTCTGCACGCCCCTGGTATTCTTTTTGTCTTCATAAACTGTGCTCCTCCACCCTGCAGATCAGAATCATGGGGATTCCCAGTGCTTCATTAAGCACCAAACACTTCGCTTCTGACATCCATTGCCTTTTGCATGTCTTTGGATTAAGGAAAGTCTGATTACAGACATCTCATCCAACTAGCTGAAGGATTCACACAGGATTAAGCACATGCTGGTTATCTAGCATGTATGATGAATGAAGGCCATAAAAAAGCCAATCTATCTGAAGTTAGGCATGAATTTATGAACCAAATCCTAAATAAGAACTCAGAACGTGCTGCAGACCTGTGTTCTGTACGTGACAGCACCTTGTTGAAATTAGTGACATCAAACATGCAGTAAAATGTAATGCTGTACATAAACATCCCAGTCCTCGTGTTCAAATCCAGTGGAAAATGGAAAGAGTGTCTCAGGAGAACAGGATCAGCTTGACAGCCATCAGCAGATCCCAAAATCATGCCAAATGCAAAATATTTTCTTTCTCTAAGCAAAAGGAAAGGCATTTTTTCTGCATCACAGTCACAACCATTCGGGCCTCTATTGTTAGAGGACAACAGCTGACGACAGGAGATGGATCTTACACCACTGACATCCTGCTAGCACACACATGTTGCTACCTTTAACACCATGCAAATAACTTACTCATGATAAACAAGACACAGTGGGCATTTGTCAGAGGCTGGAAGCTGCCGGTACTGAACCTACTGGCTTTCCACAGAACTTACTAGGAACCAAACAAAGCTTCTGTCAGTCGGCTGGGCCAGAGGAGAGCATCGCTGTGCACGGGCACACTGCTGCTCAGAACCACAGGCAGCCTTCGTGGAGAGCCACCACGCTCAGAAGGATGAAGCATGCAGGTTTTGCTGGGAAAACTTCCAGGCTTCAGCTTTCTGCTAGCTACTCTTGCAGCCAACGTGGTGCTGACCTCACTGCAGGCAGGACTGGGCCCAGCAACCCCTGAATAGAAACTGCGTGAGCCACCTTACAGTAAAATGATGTAACAACACAAAACAAGAAAGCAGTTATATGGCAGGGATGGAAATACAGGGAAGGCAAAGCAAACCAACCGAGGATAATATTAGTAAAGATATTTCTGGCAGGAAGATTTTTCCCACCATTTTTCCTTGTACTAAACTGTAAGCTGTCCTATTATTTTAAACCTACACCAGATGCTAATTTCATTCTGTGCTATTGAACAGAACCTGATTTGCTTGTTATGATATCTGCCATTTGGTTTCACTTCACACTCCACTAAGTCAGCATAATGCGGGCAAGGTAGTCAGGCTGCCACTTCCTTCTGTGGAAGGTCTCATCATTTCACAGTCCATTTCCTATGCATGAGAGAGAGATCAAAACAGGCAGGATTCTTCACTCAGAACAAGGGGATGTTTGAATATATCAATGATTATAAGTGAAGCTACATGTCCTGAAGTAAATGCTCCGGTTAGTGCAAAATGTGATATTCCAGAACACAAAGTGCCTACAACATACCAAGCATTTTCTTCTCTTCCTGGTAATTAAAGCCCACTTCAGTGCCTCTACCCAAATATTGAAATCCTCTTGATGTAATTGCTCTTAACTCCCTCAGAGATCACTCTTTATGAAGAGGACCTTGCAGCAAAGCAATGAAGAACCATGAGGGAATGTAAAGGCAACAGAAGCAGGTCTCTGCCAGCCTCTAAGATGCCTTGTTCTTCTCAACGGGGAGGAGAAAGACAGGAGTACTGCTACTTTCAGGTGGTGGTTCCAGCCCTGCTGCTGTTACCCCATGCTCCTCAGCAGCCTGCAGCACATGCTGGCCTGGGTGTTAAATATGATTATTTTACCACCCTGTTTATGGGAGTGGATAGTGACAGGACAAGGAGTGGTTTTCAACTGACACAGGGGAGGTTTAGGTTGGATCTGAGGAGGAAGTTTGTCACACAGAGGGAGGTGAGGCACTGGAACAGGTTGCCCAAGCAGGCTGTGGATGCCCCATCCCTGGAGGCATTCAAGGCCAGGCTGGACGTGGCTCTGGGCAGCCTGGTCTGCTGGTTGGCGACCCTGCACACAGCAGGGGGTTGAAAGCAGATGATCACTGTGGGCCTTTCCAACCCAGGCCATTCTACGATTCTATGATTTTGTCAGGAAGCTTCTCAGTAAATTAAGCCCAAAATCAGAAAATAATAATAGTAATAAAGGTTAGTCCTGCATATTTTGAAATGATTTAACTTCTAATCTTATTACATGCAGTGATGTCCAGGCAGACGTGCTCAGCAGGGGCGGTGATGAGGGGTGCTGCTCAGTCACGCTGGGCAGGGATGGCTGCAGCGGGACGGGCAACGGCACTGACTTCTGTTGTGACTTCAAACCCTTCTATTTATTTATTTATTGTGGATACAATAAATCGAGTGGCTTCATTCCTTATTGTTGTTATTCCGCACCGGGCATCTTGGAGCCTCACCTGCCCTCAAGTGTTCCCGTGCTGCACATATCCCCTCAGCCTCGCTCTTCGGAGGGACTCACACCACAAACTCCTTCCTTCTCGCGTGGGAAAGGCGACACGCATCCCTCACGGCCGCTACGGACGGAGAAAAACAAGGCGGCCTCGCCTCCGGCCCCGCCCGCCGGGGAAAACCCGCCCGCCCGCGGCACCGCGAGGGGCGCCCGATCCGCGAGCCGTAGGATCGAGCTCCGCCGCGGCGATCGGCGGCGCCGCCCCTCCCCTCACATGACCGACGTCGACGCTCTTGCCGCGCCCGCCTGCCCCTCGGAAGAGCCCCTCGGCCGGCAGCATGGCACCGCCGCGCCGCACCGCCGGCCTCGCGCTGCTGCTGTTCCTCGGCGCCTGCGGTGAGCGGGGCGGGCGGCGTCGCGGAGTTGCGGAATCGCGGCGTTGCGGGGTGGGCGCGCGCGGGCGGCGCGTGCCGCTGTCCCTGGGGCACGTGACGCGGCCGCGGGCGGCTGCCGAACTGCGGGCCGGCCGGGGGGGAGCGCGGCCGGGGCGGCGCGGCACGCGGGGGAGCGGGGCGGGAGGAGCGGCGCGGCGGAACCGGACCGTGCCGGGCGGTGCCTCCCCGAGTCGGAGCGGGGCGGGGAGCCCGCTGCCCGCGACCTCCAGAAGGGAAACGGCAGGTTGTGGGGCGAAAAAAAGAAAAAAAAAAAAAAGGAAAATAAGGAAGCTTTAATCGGGAGGCGGGCAGCGCTGTGTGTGACGCGGGGGGGGAGGGCATCACCCAGAGGGGTTGCGGCGCCGCCCGCCCCGCCGTGCGCTCGGCGGTTCTTCATCCGCTCCATCCCAGCGCCTGCCGCCGAACCGCCGCCTCGGGCAACTTCCCCCGGCCTTCCGCCTCGGTGAAAGCGGCGATGGCAGGGCGAGAAAAAAGCAAAACCAGCCCTTTATGTCCTGCGCGCGCGTCCCCAAGAAGCGAATCGCCGAGCGGGCGTTGCGAAAAGCCGGGCTGCTTTGTGCCAATAACCTGCCGTGTGACCGCCGGCTTCGCTGCCGCTGCCGCTGTTACGCAAGCGCTGGGCTGGGCGCTGCTCCGTGCGGCGGGGCTTCGGGCCTCTGCTTTTCCATCTCCGTGCGATAAATGGTGGCGGTTCAACGACCCGTTGCCGCGCTGTGCTCCGTGCCGGCTGCGCTCAGTCTTTGTCACCTTCGCCTGCGTGTGTTTTGGGTTATTTAGAGCAGACCAAGTGCTGCCCAGTGTGGGGAACGTGTGTTTTCTTAAGTCATTTCCTACTGGGGACAAAACGCACCGATATCTGCTTTTACAGTTGTGGTTACTTGCTGTCAGTGTAGCTAAGTAGGTCAGGGTGTGCCTGGTCTGCCCTATGAACCTGCTTGGTGTGGCATTTCTCTTTGCTGTTGTGTCTAATAGCACCTATATTGAAATATCCCCTTTGGAGAAGTTATTTTCAAGCTGTTTTCTCTGTAAAGAGAACAGTCTGTGTACTATTTAACCCACTGCTTCTGATTCCACATCGTTCTGAGGGTTCTTTCAGTCCCAGTCAGTAAGATATCTCCCTTCTGTGCCCCACTAACTCCCAGCAAATACGGAATTTCACACCCCTTTACCCTTTTTCCTCAGGAAGGTGGAAGAGCCTCGCTTATGTAAAACAGCACTGAAAAGTTAAACAAATAAAAATCACAGCATTACAAAGCAAATTACTGAGGCATTAATATCAAAATCCTCTTTGGTTTATGCTCCTTTTGTGCCTTGGTGGAGTCGCTCGGCGTGCCAGGCGACGTGACCTGCAGGTGTGTTTGTATGCAGGCACCACGGCTGGCCTGGCTGGGTTGCAGTGGTTGCTCAAAACTTTAGATTTCTCACATTCTTTCTGAAATGAGAAGGGCTGGTACATAGGGGCAGTGTTAAATCCCTCCTTGAGTCAGAAGGAAGAGAGTTTTTAGCGTTGCTGGAACTCCAAACTGACTCTTGGCAACGAGTTCCGGTGCTGTGTGGTGGCAGATTGCAGAGCTGTTATCTCTTGGTTGCACCGTAGATCTGCGTGCAAACAGTAACCCTTCAGAGAGCCACGCTGCACCGTTGCTTTAACAACGTGCAGGTGCCTTGCCTGGGCATGAGATGTGCTGCTTGCATCTGTTACCCTGCTTACTGAGGA